GATAAAATTGTGTTACTTAAACAGAGTCAGAGAAAGGAAAAATAAAAAAATGAAACCTACCAGTGACTTTCTTAGCCACTCTCAGTTTAGTTCCCATTTTTCATTTTCCTATTCCCCGTTCCCGGTTCCCGATTCCCAGTTCCCGATTCTCGTATCATCCGGAAATAAAACCTTTCAACTGCACGACTCCGCCTTCAAAACATCTTGAATTTTGATTGGCTATGCGTTTTTTCGGAACCTCAAAAGCATGTCGAAAACTTTGCCAAATGAAAACGGTAACGCGATCTGGTCTTTAATCTGGAAACCTAGACTGAGGTTTCGTTCAAAGCAACTACAGTCGAACCTACACTAACGGTTACCTCTCTACAACGGCCATTTTTTTGGCGGACAGTCCATACATTGACTCTTGTTTAAAGCTCTCTACAACGGCCACTTTCTCCTGTCCCCAAGGTGGCTGTTGTGGAGAGGTTCAACTGTATAAAAAAATCACGATATTTATAAAATCCCGCTTCTGCACACAGTTCATATAGAAACAAACTAAACAAAATCTTCTTAGTCTTCCCAGTCTGAGTGAATAGGCAGCGTTTACGAGAGGACAGGATGGGCATATCTTGCTCTTCCAAAAATAGAGATATAATCTCGAGACAGGCTATACACTGGCTAAATGGGAAGATAATTTCTTTACTTCCTCCATAATTCTTAATCTCGGCCCCAGTGGAATTCCTAAACTCTGCAGTCGTTCTTCCGTCATGTAGGACATTTCTAATATTCCAACTTGCTCTGCCTCAAAATTATCCGCAAATCTCTGTTACCAAAAAAAAAAAGAACGAAAAATCTATCTTTAATATTGAGAAAACCAATTCAAATACTCATCGCGACAGAAAAAAACAACATAAATAGGCCCTTATCGTTAAACAGTCACATGGAATTAAAACTCCTCGCTGGCGAACAGTGGAACATTGGCAAGAGGGGAAATTAAGCTTCTCAGTAACGTAATTTCTTCATTTTCTTTCCCCCATGATTCTCCTACTCTCCAGGCAAAGTGGTTTTGTACCATGATTAAACAACCGATGACGTCAAAAGTGCAGCTCAGTTGCAGGTTAATGCACTGTTAACCGAGAAGACCTGGGGACGAGGTTGAGTTGTTTTGGTTGTGAAAAGAAAAATGGCCGAACAGTCGGCGGAACATTTTACTCATTTCACGACGAACATAGCAAGAACACAACTCGACGGACAACATCTGTTTTTTGGAGTATATTTGCAGACCTGAACGGCCCTTTTTCATCTAAACATACACCATAAAGGAGAACTTAACATCGACGAAGGTAAGCATGTTTTAGCTTGTTTTTTTAAACTAGGAATTGAATAATAAGGAAATTAATGAATTCGGCTGTCGAAGGATATAAAGAATTATGCAGATCTTGGAGGGTGTTATCCGCCTCGGCCGCCCCTCCTCGATTTGCATAATTCTTCATATTCTTCTAAATAATTTGACAATTTGTCGTTAACTATGATTAAAAAGTCTAAATTTGCAATTTGATGTTCTTGGACCAAAATGACGAAATCCTTGTGATTACTTAAGGTAAAAAAGAATAGACAAGTTTAGAGTAAAAAGTGCAGATGAGTAACAGACTGTTGCATGAACGGCGAAAGCAATAAAAACCTTCCTCGTTAATTACGAACGCGTTACATAAAAGGAATGTTTGTAAATTATGTTACCTCATATCCAAGCTTCTTCAGGAAGATTGCCAGGAGTGGAGGGTCCTCGCCGAAAAAACTACATTGAATGAAAAAAATCAACCAATCAATAGCAGTTTTATGCACTTGTTTCACAACTTCATTAAACTTGTAACGTGTAGCTTCTCTACATGGAATTGGCTCTAAAAAGAACATCTGTGGCAGGATATCCGTGCACAGGTCAAACCTGACAGTGCCTGTATTCAACCTATCCGGGTAACCTATTTCGCCAAGTTTGGATGAATGTTGAACCCTCATTTGGGTGACTGGCCACAAAATGGTTGTTACTAACGTTCGTTTTTATTTTTATTTAATTTTTCTGTTTTTGTTGTTTTTTCCATGTGATGAATAATCAACACATTCGTTACACTCAACTAGCTTAAACGTTCTTTCGGCTCGTCACGCAACGACACCTCTTGAACGGAATACGTGACGTCCCAAAATAACGCCCTCGTAGGAGCCTAAGATAGAATGCGAATTTTGCAATTCAATGGTTAAGACGCAGACGCACCTTCTGAGTTTCTTAACGCGTGACTGAAGCATAGCACTTTCCTTAGCAGGATCACTGTCTTCCTCGGGCTTGTATTGTTGAGCATTCACTTGTCTTCTCATATCATCCATATCTTGGCTTATTGAGGCCTGGGAGCGTAATTCTGAAGACAAATGCGCCACACTTCTGGCTAAGGTTACTACGTGAGATTCTAAGCGGCTGAATCGTTTGTTCACTGCCCTGTTTGAAAAGAGCAGGGAGAAAAATATGTCATGAAGAAGTCTTTCGACTATGAACTGAACAATCAATGATAATATTCATAAGTGAACAGAACAAAGCTGCATACCGTTAATGATCTAATAGACGCCCCGGGCGTCTATTTTATGTTTCGATTCCAAGCAGTAGTCTCCGGCCTTCGTAGCCACTCGGGCCGGGGCATGAGGGCGGGGAGCATCGCGTGACTGTGACCGAGCGGCTCGGAAAGAGACCACCTATAGCGGTAGACTGCGAACATTCTCTCTTTTCTTCAGATTTAGACAGGGGAGTGCACGCTTGCGGAGGCCTCGAGATGAGAGAAGCGAGGGCGCCTCTTCCTTCTCGTGACTTCAGTCACGCGCGTGGTTATTAGCGTGTCTCGCGCGTTTTACTCGAAATCGCCTTATAAGTTTTTAAGTTTTTTTTTTGACGGAACAAGGAAAAGAGAGACTGCTCGTAGTCTACTAGAGCGGTGACGTTTAATAGATAATAGGCGTTTAAAAGAGAGAGGCGTTCATTTTCATTTACAAGGGTAACAAACTCCACAAACCCAATTCTTGGGTTGCACGTGACGTCACCAAAAATCAAACTAAGAAACTATCGATTCTTCTGAGTTTCTACTTTCACGAGGTATTACAGTACCTAAACACCTTTACATAAAAAAGTTTTTGGTTCGAAAGGGTTCTTCGTTTTGCGAGAGAGGACTCTTGAATTCCCAGGCCTTTGCGTGACGCGGCATTTAGATGGCGGCCGGGAAAGCTCTTACGAGGGTTAAAACATAACCGATTTTGGGAGATTTTGCAATGTAAACATTCCTTGTCTCAGAATAAATATTACTGTAATTTTTATGAGTTCCTCAAGCGAAGAATTCACGCATTAGTAGGAAAACTAGAAAACAGATGTTCTGTTGGTATCCGGCGGCCATATTGGTGTTCCTGAAAGGGACACCAACATGGCGTTTCCATACAAAGCTTTATAAATTTAAGTAAACCGTTTTTCCCGATATCTCGCATTTGAAATATTTCACAGACCTGATTCTTGGCAAGGGTTTTTGTATATTTATCTTTTTTTATTTCACAGATTCTATTCCTTCTATATTGAATGGTTTGCATTTTTATTTTTCATTGCGTGACAGTGCAAGCCAAGAATATGCTTTCAGCCAATACGTCAGCACAGTATATAAATAGCAAACTATCCAGTCCATTCATTAATATCTCTAAGCCTTGTAGAGATCCATTTCGTTTTATAAACCTGTACTTCCATGTCAGAATCCTTACTTTGAACTTGACATTAAACAAAATGCAATGCGCAAACTTGTGTTAATGAAACAAGACAATGAATCAATTGAATGATTTCGATCTATTTCACTATTCCACTACTGGAACAACTGTCATGCGGGGCGTTTATTACAGAGAGGCGTCTAATACAAACGTAAAAGCGCAGCGGGCGTATATGAGACAAGCAGGCATCCCAGCCACTTTTTGGAAAATTCTGTGGGATAAATAGGCTGTTCAAGTTCAAAATATAGGAAAATATTGGAATTTTCTGCCAAAATATTGACTCTTTAAAGGAAAAGAATAATAATAATAAAAAAATTCTACATTTACTGATAAAGAATTTTGATTTTGTAAATTGCTTCACAGAGCAGATACCAGAATATGTCCTATCTATAGGAAATATAGGAGGATTTCTTGAAATGTTTAAAATAGGGCATCTATTAGTTCACTTAAGGTATTGCATATTGTACTCTCAACCTGGTCTACCAATCCATGACTGGTTCCAGACAGACCGAACATCCTACATATGTAACGACGTGCCAATTGCTTGTTCCATCATTGTCCATCCCAGCGGCTAGACTCTCTTTACGTTACATTATGGATGCAGCATTTTAAAATAAAATAAAGGAGAGCTCAGTTGTTAGTTTTCTTCTTTGCCTGATTTGTGTAGTATATCGCAAATTTATATCTTACTTGATATCTTTGTTCCTTTGTTTCTTATAAGCAGCCAAGCTTCCTGAAAGATCAAAATAAATAACAATCAATATAACAAATACTGCTCATTAACCGAGAGTGAGGTCAGTATATCAAGGCCGAGGCGAAAACGCTTAATACGCAGGCTAAACTAACTGAACATCTAAGCCGCCACAGAAAAAAGCGCGTTTAAATCGTTGCGTCGCCTTCACGATTTACAGAACTGTTGCTCGCCATGCGTCGTTGTTGTTAAGGAAGATCTATCGAAAAACAACAACACACAAAAAAATCATAATAAAAAGAAACAGAAAGGAAAGTCTTTCTCTGTGCAAACCAGAGCCTTAAATTTTGTACGTCCGATGAGTCCAGCATCTCTTTGCAAAACCAAGACTGTTTTCTGTTTCCGACGTGCGAGGCAAAACCGAGAACTTACACAAAAGTGTTGAGACTAAAGGCGTCGAGAGCATGGCCCGCAAAAAAGGTAATATATATTTTACGTGACACTGAGAAGACTCTTAAAACCACCAATAACCTAATGAATAATACACTGATCTATTTAATTAAAATTGTTGATACTGTGAGATAAAAACAGATTCGAAGATAAAAATCAACGGCAACTGCAGCGATTCTATAGCTAGTCCACCAAACAGCTATTATATTAGCTATAGACAAGCCAGAATTACAAACTTCAGAAATGGCAACCGCAAAACACAGCATACCTCGAATATCTGCTGTTCGTTGACTGTTTTTCTCGGTAGAAATTCTTGAATCTTTGGATCCAACTTCCACCAAGATTTCACTGTACATCTCTTCAAGTGTTTCAAGCTACGAGAAAAAAGAATCAAAAATTAAAAATCTTGATATTTTGCAAACAACTTCATATACATGCTTTTTGATCTGGCACACCATATAAAGCCTTACATACGAACACCTTTAAGAATTCCAAGTGATTCCATCTTCTAATGTTTCTCGCAATATTCATAATATTCAGTCCACAGAACAAGTAACTTCTTTATAGAGAGAAGGTAGTTAAATCTCTTTGTGATTTACTGTGGACTCCGACTGCACGTAAGGAGCTTCATTTTACTTATCTTGACACCTTTACTAAAGATTGAAAATATATATATTGAAAAAGGCTATCAGTTACTTTGGGTAAATTTACACATTTCTCGTGATCAACCCAAGTTAACTAAAGTATATAGTTAGTCGATATATGTTACTTCATAAAAATGCCTGCGAATGATGTGATACCTGTTTACGAATGGACTGCAAATCCTGAGAGTTTTTCGCTTTTCCTAATAAAAATTAGTGGAAATAAAGAAAAGGCAGTCATTTTCTACAAGGCATGCAATTTTTATAAAACAACCAGCCATAAATATTCCACCAAGATTCGTTTTATGGACTCAGTTCATACAACATAAAGTCAATCTCCCCAATTAGCAAAGCACCGCACATTTCCCAACACAGAAATAAATGCTGCCTTACTGTGCTCCCGAGGTCTCGAAATAGATTAGTGTCTTTCCCGACCAGACAAAAATGACAGGCAATAATTTGTACGAAATTCGTTAGCGTGCATTAACGAGACAAAACGTAACAGACAAAGACAAAAACGACCAAACGTAACAGAACAAATAAGTAAAAAAATTCAAGAAAGGCGCCTTGCATTTGAGAACGATAAACGTTTTGTTTGTTGCTCAAGCCAGCTGAGAATGCTATTCACACATCTGTAACTGCAGACGAACCCCCTGTAAGCGAAGGCTCAAAAGGCTAAGATTTACTGGTCGATTAGGGGAAGATGTCGACTATGAAAGTCAAAACAGGGGGGTCTCTTCAGAAAAAGGTGCGGCCACAGACTTGCAGAGCTACAATCGCCGACAAAATTGTTGAGACATTGTACTCAAATAGGGTAACTTCAGAGAACAAAAAGACCAACACCCCTCCCCGGTCCCCTCCATTCAAAGTTGGGGTGTTTGTTGTAATCTAAAGGTAGCTCGAACAGCGGCACAACATTGCATGGAGAGGACTGGGGAGGAAAAGCTATATTTCCTCCTTTTGAAGTCAGGAAAACGTCAAAAAGCCCCCTTAGAATTAGGGCGAAGTGTCTCAACTCCTTTTGTCGGCGATTGTAGGTTATCATTTAGTGCACACAGTGAACATAAAGATCAGACCATTTGTTAAGTGGTCGCTAAAAAGAGGTTGAAAACAATGGAAATTTAGCCTGTGCCAGGCTCCCGGTCAGTGCAAACGAGAGAAAAAAGCGTAGGGAAAGAGCGAGCGAATAGCGGCGGGAAAAGACAAAGAGAGAACCTGTAGGCATTTTTTTTTTCAAGCACCTCAGTGCCCCGACTACCCCGCCCACTTTCAGAGAAACTGTTTCCTGTGTCAAAATGTGCGGTGGAAGAGGGCTTCACAAGCTCACCATAATTCTTTGACTATGCGCTCGTGAAGCCAAATGGTTGACGTAAGAGTTGACGTAACTGTCCAATTTGACCAATTATAGGGTATATCAGGAGCTGGTATACCCTTATAAGGTATTGAAAGCAATGCTGACAGGCTCCACTTTCCCGTCTCCCCTAACTCTCCTAACCCCCGCGCGGTTTTCGCACAACTTTTCTCGATCTGCTTTTATTACTGAAACGGGCTGTGGAAAATTATAAACCCATTGGTCCAAAGAGTGGTCGCAGTCGCTTACGAGAGGTGGTCCCTTACGAGAGATTTCAAAGGTAGGGTTTTGACTAGCCTTCCACACAGACGATCTTTTGGCTCGACATGCAATCCTGCCCTTCGCAAAACGAACCCCTAAGAACTTCTGAAGGTAGTCCCTTAAGGGAGGTGATCGCTTACGAGAGGTAGTCTCATATAGAGATTCTTTCACTGTACATCAAAGTGTTTTACCTCTGTCTCTTCTGCTCGCTGGTGTCCCACTGCCACTATAGCTTTTTGATCTTCGCCGACGACGGCTTCCCTCGTCTTCGTCGGAGCTCAGACCAGATGAAGAATCAGAGGAGCTCATAAACACGTACGTGGCGACTGATGATGCAGGTGACAGTGTTGGAAGCATTGGTGTCCGTGCAGGAGATGGAGTGTCCGATTCCGAAATTGCTGTCGATGTGGTAGACCTGTCCGCTAACTTGTCAGCAACTTGTTGGAGGAAATCTGAACGTGATGAACTACTTCTTTGGAATCGTCTTGGAGGCGTGCCTTCTCCTTTGACGAGTTTTCTTGTATGGGTTTTCTCACTGTACGTACTTCCAGACCGCGACTCCCGCGTTGGTTTTTGCGACGCGGAAATCTGAGTTCGCGACGCTATCCCTTCCGCTGACACAGCCGCAGCAAGTTTGCCACGCGGCGTGGGCGAAACGGATGGCGAGTTTGAATCTACTCTGCTTCTTCTATTTTGAGGTGCAGCTGGTAACTTTGCTCCCCTAAAAAAAGAACAACAATCAGACAACTCAGTCTTACTCTCCAAACAAAAAATAGTGCAGCTTTCATTCGACTAATTTCTTACAGAAATGAAAAAGTGTAAAACACAACAAGCAGTGATAGCATGTACGACACCTCTCATAAATGAGCGAAGTAAAGTAAATAGTGGGTAAATTCGCTAAGAACTCCCATGTGGCTTGTTGGTTGGAAAGTCAAATCAGTTCCCGCGAATTGTGTGGTTCGAAACAAGTCCAGAAAACATCGTTTTTCTTCGACCAAAAACCTCAAAGCATTGCTGAGCTTGACATTTACCACGTTGTTTTATTTATTTCCTACAGAAAATGCTGCGGAAATCCGAGGTCTGGTATCAGCCAACTTTTACAAGGAAGCTAAGAACCTGTGCTTCTGATCTTCAGATGTCACAACGAAATGCACGCAATGCATTTTGAGGACACAGACATCACAAAAAATGAAACGAAATAAACAGTATTATTGCTTACTCATGCATGTATATTGCTTACACACATGGAATCGCAGACGAAAAACCACACTGTGGATGTGCGACCAATAAATCGTTATCTTTTTCTTTCCGTCTCTATTTATTTATTCAATAAATTCTCGTATTTATTTCATTCCCTTCTATTTTTAAGTCGACCTCAGTTCATTAAATAATGGACCATACCAAACAACACACCTATAATTATCAGCACTAGTAAATGAAAATAAATATTACCTTGCAGGCTTTGCATTCCCTGTGAAACTGCTCGTTCTGGCTTGACCGCGCCCCTTCTGAACATTTCGCATCTTTTGTGAAGGGTGGCTTGGCTTAGAAAATCATAAATACATCACAAAATGCTCTACTTCCCTAAAAAGTGAAATTCTCTAGTGGAAATGCTGGTGTTCAAAACATTTCTCTACTTCAAACTTGCTTTCGACATGTACCAAAAGCTTTAACGAGCTGTGCTGGGACTGAATTTATCAAATTTAAACAGTGGGAAATGTCAACAAATTTGGTAAATCATAAAAAATAACCGCTCAAAACATTACAAGAAGTATAAAAAACACACAAAAATACCTAGCCTGCTCAGCTGGCGGGATTCTTGGGCGTCTCTGCCGCCAAAAACTACAGCAGTCGCACTAATCCCACCAGCTCTGCAGGCTAAAAAATACCAGAAAAGGAACGGATGGACAAATTAAAAGAAATTTCAAACTGACGAATTGCAAGACATTTTAAAAAGTGTGTATTTTTATTTTATTTTTTTACACGAGTCCGTACAAATTTTTGACGGTGTCAGCACTGGAATGGCTTTTTTTTATATCAAAGGTGCGTCACTGGGCTCCACTACGTCCAGGCTTTACCTGCGCTGAAACTGTGTCAAAAATTTGCATGGTTCACGCAAAAGGGGAACCATACGGGTCAAAAATTTTGACCTACTTTTGTGAAAAACTTGAACACATTGCCGTTCAAAAACTTGCACGGCTTGGCGGGTCTTGTGTAAACGAAAGGCGGATCCGTGTAAGTACGTTTAGTCCGTTCAAAAGTTGTGCAGACCCGTGTTAACGAGGTTGAAAACCTTTCGCTTTCATTTTGACGTCGTGCTTCGTGGTATACTATCTTGGCTACTTCTTATTAACGAAATGAACTAGAAAGAAATGTCAAAGCCTCCTTAACAAACAACATACCACATATCCAATCCTGTCCAGCTCCTTCATGCTACTGAAGTCCTTCGGCTTTGATTCCATACCCGGCTGGTCTTCCTCGGCAACATCTAGCAAAGACTGCAGTCGACGTTCAACATCATCTTCATCGTGAAATGGCTGTAGTTTTGGTGGTGGGGGAATCAGCATTTCCTCCTCCGTTTCCTGTTTGAAGTAAAAATAAGTGTCTCAAGCAAATCCTTATCACCACCAAATTTACACTGAGATAATAGGAAACTTCAGTAACGGCGACGGCAACGAGAACGCCAAAAAGGCAATAGGTTTAGGGCCTGTTTACATGGAGGTGGAGGACCTCGGTTAGGTGAGGTAACCCGCTTAGGTGGGGTAACCCGCCTGTCCACATAATCTCTCTTTTACTTTGATCACGTTTACATGATAGGTGGGGTGACCTGCCGCATGTTACGTCACCTATCTGGGGCCCCCACCTCCATGTAAACAGGCCCTTAGATTAGCAAAACATCAACTTTGCACGTGCATCACGCATTTTTGTACATTACTTTGCCGTCGCTTCACGATAACAACGTGAAACTTCATATTTTCACGTTTTGTGGAGCAAGTGAACGCAAAACAACAATACGATCTTCTTTTTCTTGTCTTGAACTTCGACACAGTCCTTTAGAATTCAACTCCAGAAAAATTCTCCATTATTAGCCGAATTGAACGAGATGGAATAAACACGATAGTGTTTGAAGCCGAGAGCGCGAATTCTCGTCGCCGTCTTTGTTGCCTAAGCTCCCCGTTCATTACACCTTACTTTCCAGCTACTTTACTCTGTGGATATGAACAGTACACTGAACCTCGATATAACGAAAGGCCAAGAGACTGAGAATCATTAATGTTCGCTACATTGAGGTTTCATTATATCAAGTAAAAGTTCTTTTTCATATACATGTACTTTACTATTACTGTGGGGAAGAATAACGTTCGTTATAGCGTACAAGAACTTACAAGAAACCGAATTTTATACGTTCTACAATCTAATAACCTTTCTCTGGCCCCTAATACTGACTTTTTCTAGAAAATCTTAATTGCACACTTTTTTAATTAACTACTATCATGATTTTCACACAATCACCTCGACAGGAAGCCCTCCAGGATTTGGACTGCTCAACAGTGACCTCAGCCTGTCCTCAAGTGAGATCGCCCCATTAGCACGCATCTAAAAAGAAACAATTTTCAGTTTTCATTAATGTAGAGCACCACCTGTCCAAACCGTTCATTTTTTAACACGGTTATTTTTATTGAAGAAGTTAAGCCCTCTCCCGATCGATATACTGTAAATGATTAGGCTTCTAACATTTGATAACTGTTTCCGTCACTACATTTTCACCTAAACTAACTGTAGAATGACGACGGTTATCGCGTTTTCTCGCCAAACTAGGGAGCTTTTGCAGCGACGAAGGCGACGGCAACGAGAACAGCAAAAATGCAGTAGGTTAATTTAATTCGTAAAAAAACAACTTTGCACCTGCATCACACTTTTTTGTACATTTCTTTGCCGTCACTGCACGACTACGACGTTTTATGAAGGACGTAAACAAGCGACAACGAATTCTTTCCTTCTCTTTCTAAACTTGAGTGCGGTCCCAAAGAAATCAACTCCAGGGAAATTCGCCTACATTTGACATTTTCAACGAATTCGAATAAACGCGACAAAGTTTGAAAAACGCGAATTCATTTTAAAAGTGACGTTTCCGCTGCCGTCATCGTCGTCGTTGCAAAAGCTCGCACTAAATAGTATTGACAAAATCTCGTCATCTTAATCGTCCTCCTTTTAGAGCCTACAGGTAATGTTACACAGGACAATTCGCAACGACGATTTTTAGCGCGACACAGCGTTGCAATGTTGGAACAATGTTGTAACTATTCGAAACAACGTCGCAACAATGTTGCAACGCTGTGTTGCGCTAAAAATCGTCGTTGCGAATCGTAATCGTGTAACATCACCTTAAAGGTCTCTAGAAACGTACCTGTGACGGTGAGAGATTCCGGGCTGTTTGAAGGACTCCTCGCTTGTCCAATTCTGTTCGGGTCTATAAACAATACTTTAAATGTTACAGTTTACTTAGAAGAGGATGGTAACCTTAGTGAAATTTACCATATACAGTGGAAACTCCTAAATACGACCAATAGCGAGTCATAAGAATTTGGCAAAAACAACGAGGTGGGCTGGGCTTTTCTCATTTTTACTTTAGGGCTAAATTTTGTTCGTTTGTTTATTTGTTTTTTACTCTGCTGACTTTGTAAAGAAAACGAGCACTTTAGAAAAGAACAATGTGACATTTCACGGAAACTCTAAGTAAGAAAAGGAATATCTAAAACAGTAACTTTCTTATGTCATTTGTCTGTCCTTTGACATGCATAACTGCTTTAACTGGCCTTATTAATAAACAAGGTGAATTTGTTGAGAAACATTTTTACGTTGGAGCTTATAATGTGACTGGTTTGGCCCTGCTGTATGAAAAAGCTATTTATTTTTGCTTGCTGACACCGTTCGGAAAATTAGTATTTACCGTAATGATAACATCCGAAGGCTGTACTGGTTTTCGTGACAGAATTGGACTTTCCTGGCCTTCAAGCATTCCTGGCATGCGGAAGTCATGGATAGGAGATGGTTCATTTTTCTGTGTCGTTGGTGAGGCCTCATCTGAATGGTACCCTGAGCTACTGCCGTGGGTGCGTGGGTCAACATCATAACCTGTAAAGCGGCAATAAAAAATTAAAAATTGAAGTTCTTGGAAGCAACAGCCACTGCCTGGTTAGCTCAGTTGGGCGGAAGATCGCACTTTCACTTATCCGGTTCTTGTGGGACGTTAACGAACCCAAACCACTGTTCGAAAAGAGTAGAGGACGTAGACCCCGGTGGTGTGGCTAACAAGTTTCAGTTCTTCAATAATACCATATTCTACCCAGGGATGCTGCTCCAGTTTTAAATAAGCAAGCAAACATCCCCCATCTCAAAAAAGGATGGAAAAAAGCATTCACGGCTCCCCTCCCCCACCCCAGCTGGGGGTGTTTATAAGAGAGTCTTACAGTGGGGGTGTAAATAACATGAACAAGCAAATCATCAGGAAGGGAGAAAACAATAAAATTGATTTTTCTAAGTGCAGAATACCCTATACAAGCAAGATTTAACAAAGTAAGTACCGACGTGTAAGATGCACCTTTACCTAAATTCACCTTTAACTGTACAATTGCTTTCAAAATACTTGGCAAAATACTTTTAAGAAAAAAAACCAACAGAGAAGAACATTCAAGATCTGCATTAATTTACGGACTTTTCCGACACACCTGAGGGGACTTAATTGCTCAAAACGGGGACTAGATAAAAAGATGTGATGAACGTAATCACACTTGTGCAAAAAAAGTTTACCTACCATTAGTTGAGGGTAGATATGGCACTGAACCTTCCTTGTTTGAGCCGGAGGAGCTGGGTCGAGGTCCATCAGGAGATACCCATCCTTCACCCTGCGATGTGTTTAAAGCATACATAAGTGAATCGAACAATTATAAATATTATTATAAGAAATATTTGTTAAACTAGCCTCAGGATCAGGCAGATGGAGATCTCAGTCTCTTAACTAGTAATACATCACATCAGTCAACGTGCAAAGAAAGTAGTGTCCGATAGCCCTGGACTAGTAGATTTTGCTATCGGGCTAGTGTATTCAGGGCAAGTGACTTTTTTTGAGGAATTCAAATTAAATAAGAACTGTATAATCAATCCTCGTCATCAAAACGATTTTGAGGCTAGTTGAAATGACTTTTGGGCTAGTACATGCCAGGTGCAGCTTGCCTGAATAGCTGTAAAACTGACTTTCTTTGCAACCTGTACGTCAGGTACATGTAAATTAGCCAAGTGGTATGAAGTAAAGCCCTATTGTTAGTCTCTTTCTACCTCAAAATCATTAAATTTTCTTGCAAAGTCCCTTACGTTCAAACAAGTCTCTGATTTTACTATTCACCATGCCTATACATGGCTTTATGAACTAATGAATGTTTTCACCTTGATCTTTCATTTTTCTACAACATTTATGTTTGGATGGACTTTTAATACTACCCGTTTTTACTTCCCTGGTTTTAAGAGTCTCAGTTACCAGGATTAGTTCTCTACACTGTGTCAACTTGATCCTTGTGATGTCATCACACAGTGTATTGCAGATCAAGGAATCAGAAAATTAAAGAAAACATGTACTAGACACTTGCCTCCAACATAGATGCCCTGCAGGTCTATATTTCTGTTTCCCATAAAACTCATGCATAACTGAAGATTCTCCAACTTTTGAGCCCTGGTCACTGGGCGTGCATAGACCCCTGGGATTTTTTGACCAGCTGAAATGAATAAAACATCATTTCATCATGTTACAGATGCCTCAATCTCTGCCAAGAGCGATGACAGCTGTAGACACACTAATGTCACAACATGTAGACATAATTAGAGCAAACCTAAGTTCCATTAAATCATGGCAGGTTAGTAAGCTAAACTTGTTTGGAAAAAATGCAGACATTTTATTATTATATAATAATTACACAGATACGTATATCATTAACACTAAAAAACACCATAACATTATAAGAGTTTTCATGTAACATCAAGTTTCACTGAGCCAATTGCAAATGAAGATACATGTGATAAGCATGGCAATTCGAATTTTACACTAGCTCTGTAGCTAATTGTATACAAAGTAGCCTTAAAAATGACTTCTGTTTAAAGAAAGCATTTTAAACTTCAGGTTTCGTAGAATTTACGAAGAAATTGCTTACATGAACACAAACAACAGTTACAGTATGCCCCTTGGAACTGAAATACATTAAAGTTCTATGAAGTTGCAGAGTTTAAAAATTCAGAGTAGTGTAACATTGCTGTCTTCAGGAACGGTATATATAACTTCACAAAAGAATAATATACAAAGCACTGCAGGGTTTATATAGAAAGACTGCCCTAACGCATGAAACAGTACAATCATGTCAACAAACAAGGATTATGTTACATCCAGAAATGCTAACATCATTTCTAAATAAAGCTGCCATAATTTTCATATTTACTTCTTTTTTTCTGCCATTTAAGCATGATCCTGGTATAACGACATTTTTAAACTGCTCTAGTATTTGCCTCAGCTCACATGTTGGCCATTTCTTCATCATCGATATTTTCAAATCAGAATGTGCATATTCACTGTCAACAAAGGGTTGTTCATCATAAAAGTTTTATAACACCTTGAGCTGTATTGTAATGGAAAGGCCTGCCATGACAATCAGAGCAGGATTTATACAATGCCAATAAGCATTTCATAATAATAGACAGGATATTACAATGTTCATAGACAAAGAGGATAAAGTGACGGCCTGAGTTATAAATTACACTCATAACGGATATTACCAAGAGACAAAGGTCTGATGAAAGAAAGACTTGTAAACAAATATACAAAGGTTTCAATAACTCAAAAATGCTGCAAGCTTTTTTTACATCTAAATTAAGTATACCAAATTACTTACTATATTTTTTGTACAGGAAGAGGTCAGTCAGCAAGATTTGGCTTTAAATCCTTAAACTCACAATTTTCTTTGTCAAAGTTACATGTAATTAAAGGATGAAGGCTACAACAAAAGGATGGCACATTCTTTAAATTCAGTTCAAAGTAATTTGCATGATAATGTCCTTTTTTCCTTCCATTAACAATGATATGTATGAAATGAGTTGTTTTCACCTAATAGTGATTAGAGTACAGTTTAATCTCCCACAAATTTCAAATCCATGTCATCAAAAAAATTGCTGATGAAAGTTTACATTAATGACAATTACGACTCTGAGATGATTCCCGGCAAAAGAAGCTGTGTCAAAATTCAAATTAGTGACCTTGAGTGTTGTTATCATTTCCTTGATGCTTAAACATTTTGAACTGGTTTTTTAAGTAGAGTTAAGGGTCATCAGCAATGACCAGAATATAACACTGATGACCAAATCACGGATCACTATATTGCTGATTGAACAAACACAATTCAAGCTGGGAAACTACTTGTTGACTCTTGAAAATACAAATTAAAAGACCCCAAATTTGGGTCAATATGTCAATTTTTCTGGAGGTCCACTAACTGTCTTCACATTATCAAATGCAGTTCAAGTTACATTTTGTTTAAAAAAATGTAACTACATGGCTTCTGATTTACACTTGCCGCGACAATAGTGTGAACAACTGCATGGTATTATCATAATGTGACTAACTTGGAAGAACATATTGTTTTTAATGGCCCCTATGCAAACTGAATCAAAATAATTTATATGCAGGCTGTTCCAGAGAGCAATTAAACTTTGGTTTCAATAAGCAATCAAGATCATGTTGTGAAGGTAGCAAGGAAAACCTTGCAGTGTAGCAGGCTGTCTTCACCAGCTGCTGGCTCTTGCAAACAACCCTGGAGACCCAATCCAATTTTGTGGTATCACACACTCATTTTACATACGTCAAACCCATCTCCTTTGATTAGTTTAGCACAAAGTTGTCTATTATTATGTTCAAACTAGGTCCTAATATTTATGAATCATCCTGCAGTTAAACACCTTCCTCATACATGTTCATTTAACTGTTCACTACACGTACTATACCTAACAACTACATGTACAGACCACTGGCAGTCTACCACCAGTTGTCAATAGGGTCTCTTACTGCAGTCTAGTAGGATTTAAGGTCTTACAGCCCCTTTCCTGGTCTTAGCTGCCTTTTCAACCATCAGCAGCTGTTTATAGAAAAAGTTACTGAAGCCCCTGACTCCCTTTTTTCAGGACTAGATGAAAAATGGATTCAAGCTTATATCTTCTGTGCAAGCAGCTCTCAAATTTTGCTTGCCTGAGGGCACTTCTTGCTTGTCTTAGTTAATGATTTTGTTAAAGGATGACTTAAATTGGATTCTTGCCCATTAGGCAAGCAAGAAAATCTGCTTGTCCCAGACTACTGGACAGGACTATTTTCGAGCCCTGTTATTGCGGGTAACCTTTGGGATCTTGAGTAAGCGTACATGTCATTGATTAATGACAGTCCAGGGTTGTTAAAAGTAGCTGGCTGCTGGCGAAAATCGCCATCTACTTGGTTAGTATCGGCCGGCTACTCTGCTGGGCATTTCTTTATGGATGGCGTTTTTTAAATAAAAAATCCCTGGACTGTCCGCTTACTTTGACAACTCAGCTGTCTACATCAAAACTTTCTGACAACCCTGCAGTCTTGAGCAGGAGTTTATTTCAAACAAAGGCCTGTAATTTACTGTTGCAAGGGATTCAGTAGCTGTCCGTATCACAGTGGCATTTGTAACAGCAAGCTGTTCACAAGGTGAAATTTTGACAGTAGATGAAGTGACAACCAGGTAGATTAGGATACACGTACTTCTGTGAGTACCATCCACTGGGGTTGTGCTTCTAAGACTCACAGCTCCAGTTTTTTAAAAGGGGAATAGCACTATCCACTACAATGTCTGTAAAGTGGATAATGCTGTTGATTATATATTAAACACCAACGAAACATCAGGNGCCTGAGGGCACTTCTTGCTTGTCTTAGTTAATGATTTTGTTAAAGGATGACTTAAATTGGATTCTTGCCCATTAGGCAAGCAAGAAAATCTGCTTGTCCCAGACTACTGGACAGGACTATTTTCGAGCCCTGTTATTGCGGGTAACCTTTGGGATCATGAGTAAGCGTACATGTCATTGATTAATGACAGTCCAGGGTTGTTAAAAGTAGCTGGCTGCTGGCGAAAATCGCCATCTACTTGGTTAGTATCGGCCGGCTACTCTGATGGGCATTTCTTTATGGATGGCGTTTTTTAAATAAAAAATCCCTGGACTGTCCGCTTACTTTGACAACTCAGCTGTCTACGTCAAAACTTTCTGACAACCCTGCAGTCTTGAGCAGGAGTTTATTTCAAACAAAGGCCTGTAATTTACTGTTGCCAGGGATTCAGTAGCTGTCTGTATCACAGTGGCATTTGTAACAGCAAGCTGTTCACAAGGTGAAATTTTGACAGTAGATGAAGTGACAACCAGGTAGATTAGGATACATGTACTTCTGTGAGTACCATCCACTGGGGTTGTGCTTCTAAGACTCACAGCTCCAGTTTTTTCAAAGGGGAATAGCACTATCCACTACAATGTCTGTAAAGTGGATAATGCTGTTGATTATATATTAAACACCAACAAAACATCAGGTGAGCTTTTGGGTGAAAAAATGATATCTTCACATGTGAAACAATCACAATATTGCTAATGGCTACATAATAAATTGTGCCTTTTACAGCAAAAGAAAACACTAAAGTGAAATAGTTTGGTATTTCATTGATGTTTATAATTATAATAAATAGAACATTACATGGCTGTTTGAAGATACAGAATTTCTCTTCTTGTGTTAAAAAAAATTTTAGTTGCTCTCTGCACTCTTGCGTGAATTATTTTTCAACATTTGGAAATAAATTTCATTTCTCAGTGCAGCCATGTAATATCCTCTATTTATCCACTTGATACAAAAATGTAGCTGTTTCCAATCATTTGAGAAGCTGCAGCCCGATATATAGGGTAAATCAAGGTGCCCATACATTTTATTAATTTTTATTTCCCAAAATTGGGAATAATCAGAGATATTTCAAACTCACATCTAGAACAGGGCATCATCGTGAATAGAAAGTCCCTCTAAAGTGGAGTCTAAGTTTGTTGGCCAATTACCCGAGTAACTACCAACCTTATGGGAAAAAAAGGATTGGGATTGGATACTTATGTTTAGCTTTACAACAAGGTATGGCCAGGTAGCAGGGTGCAAAGAAAATCATTTTTACAGCTTGCCTTTCGGGCAAGCTGAAGCTAGCATTTACTAGCCCAGACGTCATTTCAACTAGCCCCAAAACTTTTTTGTTCTTCTGTTATTCAAATTCCTCATAAAACATCAGTTGCCCATTGGGCAAGTTAAAAACAGAATTCACTATCCCGATAGCAAAATCTACTAGCCCCGGGCTATCGGGCAGTACTTTCTTTGCACGCTGGGTAGGCAGTTCTACCTGTTTGAAGTCATACAAAATACACCCAGTTTTAAAAGGCAAATAGGGATGCTATTTGGCGGTCATGCATTATCTTTGGTTAGCTTTTAATCTTTTTTTGTTCTTTTTTTTAAGGACTAATTCAAATGATAGCTTTGGGTATTCTGTCTGGTCAACACATTCAACCCAGGATAGATGTTATTCGCCGGCGACAAGTTTTTATCCCACATTCTCTAGTATGCATTTTAACATCCTGCCCATAGAAATGAAGGATTGAGAGATGAGATGGACACAGACTAATAATTTTCTGCTTTACAATCTTAGTATCTTAGTATTTTATTCATTAATTTACATCTATAGCCATGGGACTTCATGATATTAAACAAGTGTATTTAGAAAAGAAAAACAGAAAGCCATAAATTATCACCTCTAATATATACCAGAATAGACACTTAAGTGAGTTGATGATTCTTTAAAAACAGAAATGTTACAATTAATGTAGGATGAGATCACATAGCACAAGCTGGGAATGATTTTCGAAGAGTTTTGTTTATCACCTACAAATGCAGGGTGCTTTTGTCAAACACAAGAGAGTAAGATGAACAACTGTCAATTGCGTGATTTTTCTGGAAGCGTCATCAATTAAAAGTATTGAGAACAATCACTGTATAATCATTAATTATTATTCAATTTTTATCAAATGATAGAATTTTTCTACACAAATGTAACCGGGAAGGTAAAATAACAACTTTAAACAAACGGAAAGACCATAAAATCTGCTCTAGTTTACAAATGACGGGTGGTTGCGTGAACCAAAACAGATCTATCAAACCGCAAGCGTAATATAAAAAATTGCAATAGATATCCGTACGAACGCAGACGGTCGATACTTTGTATCGTGAAAGCGATATTCTCTTTGTTTGGTTTTGTTTTAATGAAAGACCAACAAATATGTAGTAGGACAAACAATAATTTTTAAAGAAATAACGAGAGTAATTTAGCTCACCTAAAATTTCCAGAATGTGAACTAAAGTTTGCCCATCACCAACCGAGCGTCGGATGTCGGAAATGGTTCTGCGTTTTCCTCTCTTGAGTAAATGATTAGCCCAAGATGTGAAATCCTTTGAATAAAACACAAACAATAACGCTATGATTGTTGAACGAAAAGTTATCTTAGAAACGACATTTCAAAAGCTATAAGCCTTCACAGAGGGCGCATAGTTACTGACCTGAAACCAAACAACAGCCCGACTGTGAGCTACAACTTCCAATACTATACATCAATTTGTAAACTGATTGTAATCTTTTATTGTATTCACCAGGAATATTTAAACAGACATAATGAACCTTAAATAAAGTTATAGTTAAGTACCTCGCACTCCTTAAGAGCCCATTCTCCAGTTACAGAGACTTTCATCGGGGCATTTTTGGAATGGAACACCGGAAAAGCCGCGGCTTCTTTCCTCGCTCGTGTGTTAACGGTAGTGAACGCTTGCTTCGAAGCCGTTCCTTGTGCAACGGGATGGCGCATTCCATCTACTAAATTCGAGTCTGTATTCTGAGCAGAAGTGACCTTTCCCAGAGAACTTGTGGGCTGGAGTTCGATTTCATTTTGCCAACTTTGCTGCGTAAAATAAAACAATCAAAGTTTACTTGACCGTGTATGCAGTAAAAGAACAGTGACAATTTCATCGCGCTTACCACCGGTTGTCCGCCAACTCCAATTTTTAACTTTCGCGAATGTCCCCTATTATGTCTTACGTCCGTCATTACGCTTTGAAGTAGACTCCTCGAATGATTAAATGCGATTACATGATTCGAACTGAAAGCCGGAGTTACTAACTGTAAAATTTATGCAGTGACTGCATGCAAACTTTTGAGATGCGTGTCAATTTCTTTCAAGCCTATTGTCACAATCCTATTGGCTAATACGAACTCATCCACCGCCAATTAACTTATTACTGTCTTTGTGCTAGCATTCTNCTTTTCCGGTTGTTATGGGGCACTTCAAGGACCACTCAGTTCGGTCAGCAATAAAACGTGACTTCTTTGTGACCAAACCTTTCTTCAGTTTAAAAAGAATCTAAGCAAAGAAAAATATAAAATTATAAATTTCAGAAATCTGAACCGCTAGCAGAGAAGAAAGTGATCAGACAAACATCAAACAAATAAACAAACAAACTAGCAGACAGACTGACTGACAAAACTAAAAACTTTTAGAGGTGTTACGTTATTTTTTTAGTGAGTTGAGGTTAAAAGGCGTAAAAGATCAATAAAAATTTTCGTGCCAATGTAAGCGTACAAAGGTGCGTGATTCTGTGTATGATGACGTCATAACTGTGCACAATTCATACTTCGCCTGATCAGGAGGAACACCTAATCGCAAAATGAATAATATGGAAATCCTTTTTCCTTTTGGTTTAGTACCGCGCACGTAAGCCAGTAACCTACGATCAGGCGTTCAAAAAACGAAGAAGGACCGCCTGATCGTGGGTTAGTGAGCCAGCTGCACTGATAGTTCTCCCTGATAAAGTACTGACCAAACTTGTTTTGCGATTGATTTACCAGTTATAGGGAAGCCTGCCCGGTTAATAGGCTAGACCTCCATGTAGGCTCCCCCAATTTGTCAGTTCGGCTCGCACTGATTTGCACACTTTCCTCAATAAATGTGCCCGATAAATGGCTCTTCACTAGGAGTAGCGTTTTGTAATAATCGTGAATTTGGGGGATGATCCCTCTGTAACGTATTGGTATAGCACATGTACGCGTGAAAAGTTGAGTCAAAAAGGGCGCCAAAGACGACTGGAAATAGGATATCAGCATCAAAAAATAAGGGCTCCAATTCTATCCAATGCACTATCCAATACAAGTAGGAACCTCTTATTACTGACCCGAGGTATTGTCTCCAAGTTTCGTTTTCAAACGAACACCAGTAAATAACAATGCATTTGAAATATACAGAAATTTTAGCTATTGTAGTCCACGAATGTGAAACTTGGAGCCAATACCTCCGAATAATTAATGGCTTCGTGTTTTGGAGTCCTTATTTTATTGCGTTACAAGATTTCAATTATAGTGAAACTTGAGGGTCATATAAAACGACAACTAATCTCGAGAATATCATATTTTTTCAAAAAAAATTATCGAGCGGCACGTTTCAAAATTATTCGCTTATTTGTTTAAGGTGGCCAGAACCTAGTTATATGCGTAAAGGTTATGTTTTTAGAGTCGCGTTTCTTCAGCAGGAACGATTTAATCAGGATTTTACACACGTTTTTAAGAAGATGGAAATTGCTATGAGGTGAATATTGCAATTCAAATAAAAACGCTTCTATTTTCGAGAGGTAACGGCCGACCATAAAGATTGTCCAGTTTTTACTGTATTTCTAACCACAAAAAGTTCATCTCAAATTATCTCGAAAACGCTCTCATATATTTTGTATTTTGTGTTGGACAAACAATCTTCTATGAGTGATTGTGGAAAAAAACTCCCAGCGTCGCGAAACACGGCAGAAAGTAAGATAGATAATGAAGTCATTTTGTTGCTATGACGACTCCGATGTCATGACGTATAACACTGCTCATGTGTTATTTGGTTTTTCCATATCTTTGTTTTAAGATGGCGACTTAGTTAATGCTCAATCTTGAGAGGTATTGACCCTGAAAAATTCAAACGAGCGTTTACATGTATGAACCAGACTATAAGCCCGGGCTCACACTTGCGACGCAAATGCAAACCCAAACGCAAATTCAAACGCAAGAAAAGACACGTATGAATTTCCTTAACGCAAATGCAAACGCAAAAGCAAGTGCTGACGCAAGAAATGGAAAATTATTATTTTCTTGCGCTTGCATTTTCCATTCGACCCCCCGCAAAGAGAAAACTGCTTTTCTTCTACGGCCATGCATTTTAATTCTAAAAGTTGCTTAAAACTTTTAGGAAACTTTTTTTCGAAGCATTGAATTGATTAGGGTTGAAATGATGTGGTCACGTGAAACGTAACGTCATAATGATATTCAAGAGAAAATGCTGAAGAATGGGGTAGGAATGTTGATTACAACTAAGTCTGAAACATGTGTAAATGTTTGTTTTTTGGTACAAAGTTTTTGGTGGCCGAAACGGAGAGAATTTTTAATTTCTTGAAAAGATATTAACAGATGAAAAGTCTCACGTGTTCTATTTTGCTTAATTGTGAATTAATTAAAAATGCGAGACAACCATTCTGGCGAGATTTATGCAAGGAACATTATGATAGAATAACAAAAATACTGTTTTTAATATCTACTGTGTGGCATCTCGCCACACCATTTTTGGTTTTCTCTTCTTTCCTGGACTTTCCATAAGTGGTCACGTGACATAAAACAGTGATGTCTTACGTAACAAGAAAATTAAGTTAACCGATTTTTCCGAGGCTGCAAAATTTTGAAAGGGTCTGGTAAATTTCCACAAAGTTATGAGTATTATAAGAGTTTATGCAAATTATAGCCTCAGGCACATAAGGACTTTTTTGCATTTTCGTATTTTCCGAGAACTATAGCTGACTGGAGTGCTTCTGAGGTCATTTTATCATCAGCTTCATTAGAAACTTTCAAATCTAATTTCTCAGCTTTTCTTAAGGTGATTCACTGGTTTTGCACTGCGCATCTCTTACTGCGCATAACAAGATGGCCGCCATTAAAAAGAGCATTTGAAATAACCCCATTAAAATGAAGTCGACTGAAGAAAAACGCTATTGGAATTTTTGCTTGCGATTGTTTCTTGCCAAGGTGAGACTCAATGTACTGGGAATGTGCATAACGTAAGCAGTACGCGTGTTGCTGAGTTCGACTTCCTCACGGAGAACCTCGACTGAGTGGATGTTAAACTTGTGCTTGCTCACTTTGATTTTCATTTAAACGCTTTTCATATCACATTGTGTCCTAAACGAGCTATTTTGATGTAGATTCTGTAAAAACGGATTTTTTAATACTTTCTTTCCCCTCTCAAATACATGCCATTTTGAAATTCGCCCCAGTCCTCTCTCAAAAAATGGGAGAAAATGCATTTGGTGCGCACTTTCTGCAGCTCTACCGCAAAAACGAGTACGGTGACCCCCATTTTTTATTTTATGATTTTAATAAGGATAGTCCTTCCTTTCGATGAGAAAAAAATTGGCACGAATCTATGTTCAGTTTTTTGGCAATTTTACTAAATTGTACGGATTGAGCTACCACGGGTAGAATAGCGCGTGTCCAATTTAATTCTCCTTTGGAGCGTAAAGTAAAAGCAAAGGCATTAAAAGGCATTTTTCTGGAACGTAAGTGGATAAACAATACATTAATTAAAGTCAAATTCTGTGCGTTACCGCATGCATCATCGAAAAAATCTCTCCTTTTTGCCTAGTTTTAAGCTGCGCGCAGAACTAGACAAAGGATCCTAAATAGCCGTATTTGTCAGCATTATGACGTCAAAACAAGCACGGTAACCCCCCATTTTTATTACTTTTTTATCATCTTCTTGACTTGTTACATCAGTGTACCAAGTTTCATCTACAATCAGGGGGGCCCCTGTCTACAATCTATGTTAGGTTCTTTTACTAAGGAATCACCTTAAGTAATAGTTACATAGTTATTTTATTTAATTTTATAACTGTTCATTAGTTTGTATTCTTTTACGGTTGGTGTGATGTCTTAGCAATTTTCACCGACCTAATATGTAGATGTAGATGAAACGCATGTGCAAAAGCAAGGATAAAAAAAAAACAAGTAAAGATTCCATTGGCACAGTGACGTCGAATACAAGACTGGGTGTCTTCCATTTAATTTCAGACGAGAAAATAGCAGAGAGCTACTGTAAAAAATTTATTTATGTGCCCTATGATAAAATTGGTGCAGATACTAATGCTTAAGGACAGGGACTAAGTTTGAACAGGGGTAGCCTGCGAGCAAGCTCTTCATTTGGGGGATATCGTGAAAAGTACACGCGCGAGAGGCACGCGAGAGGAGACACGACTGCGGGGGGCCCCCGCGACTGCGCCGGCCCCTCGTGACTCCGCCGCTCGCTCGCGCGTTATCGCGCGGCTCGCTTCGCTCGCCCAAATAGGAGAGCTTGCTCGCAGGCTAAACAGGGGGGGAATGTATGTTTGCACGATAAAAAATATAATCAGCAAATAAACTTAAATTGGTCACTGATTATACTGTTTACAGTATTATAAGCGTACATTTTCTGTTGCACTGAGTATAGCTACGTCCTCGTCCCTTAAACACGCTTTATACCAAAACCACGTAGAGTAGACTAATTTCGGCCAAAGCTTTAGTCTCGTCAGCCATCTTGGAAAAAATTTTGGCGGCGCTTCATTGCGCCTGCGTTTCTTGACTTCCTTAAATTTGCGTTCGACGAGTGAACGTCCTTTGCACGGGGTTTGCATTTGCGTTGCATGTGTGAACTAGGCTATACAGTTTTTGCATGCCGGTCCCTGGGAAATTCCGAGTTCTGAATCTCTTTATTTTCAAATAATATCCTGCCTTTTTTTAGCTTGAAAAAAACATTAATAATCCCTTCAAAGGCCAAGCCTAAGAGAGAAGTGGCCCCCTTTTGCCTTTCAAACATTGCTCAGTATGGCCTAATCCTAAAGCTAATTCAGTAGGGGAGAAGACTTAATTGAAGTTTCATTCGTATCCTCCATTATATACTCAGTTCTAAAACGTTCCTTGCTGGTCAGATATAACAAGAGTTAAAAGATCTTAAGTTGTTTGTTCTAGTTCATAGTTCTTGCAGTCATGAGTGCCCACAATTCGAGTTCTGTTGGACTGAATCGCTTTACCTCTACACTTATAGAGAGAGACGAATTGAGAACACAGAGTTCTCAAGGCTTGCTTATAGTTTGTACTAAACGCAAAGAGGATGACCGGATTGATAGCTGTACTTAAAGACGGAAAAACATAGAAGGTAAAACCAGTAATTAATTGGCATTTGTCCTTCGGAAACAGAGATGGAAAAAACTTTCTAAGAAACAGATAAATACAGAGTGGTGTCCAGCATACAAAAAAGGCAATGACAATAGTTATAAAGATTTTCAGAATCTTCCTATTCTGCTGGCTTCGGTCAAAGTTATGTTGGCTTGTTTGAATGTTAGTTTTCTTGCTTCTCTTTTTCAATCTTCTCATGACCACGTAATACAAGACGATGATCGTAATCAGGGGAATAAAGTAAATTAGAACGATGCCGGTCGCATGAAAAACCGTTGTTGTTTCCTCGTTCGCGATAAACCTGCAAACAATCTGGTCCTCTACTGTAGTTATCTTGGAAAACAGTGCGTAAGGAAGAACGATAAGCAACGCTATTAGCCACGATACCAACAATAAGATCACTCGAATTTTCCAATTCATCATAGCAACTTTAAAAGGAAAAACAATCGCAACAAATCTGACCCATTAAAATGAAGTCGACTGAAGAGAAACGCTATTGGAATTTTTGCTTGCGGTTGTTTCTTGCCGAGGTGAGACTCAACGTCCTGGGAATGTGCTTAACGTAAGCAGTACGCGTGTTGCTGAGTTCGACTTCCTCACGGAGAACCCTCGGTAGTGGATGTTAAACTTGTGCTTACTCACTTTGATTTTCACTTAAACGCTTTTTATATCACATTGTGTCCTAAACGAGCTATCTCGATGTAGATTCTGTAAAAACGGATTTTTTATTACTTTCTTTCCCCTCTCACATACATGCCATTTTGAAATTCGCCCCAGTCCTCTCTCAAAAAATGGAAGAAAATGCATTTGGTGCGCACTTTCTGCAGCTCTACCGCAAAAGCGAGTACGGTGACCCCCATTTTTTATTTTATGATTTTAATAAGGACAGTCCTTCCTTTCGATGAGAAAAAGTTGGCACGAAACTATGTTCAGTTTTTTTGGCAATTTTACTAAATTGTACGGATTGAGCTATCACGGGTAGAATAGCGCGTGTCCAATTTAATTCTCCTTTGGAGCGTAAAGTAAACGCAAAGGCATTAAAAGGCATTTTTCTGGAACGTAAGCGGATAAACAATACATTAATTAAAGTCAAATTCTGTGCGTTACCGCATGCATCATCGAAAAAATCTCTCCTTTTTGTCTAGTTTTAAAATAAGCTGCGCGCAAAACTAGACAAAGGATCCTAAAAAGCCGTATTTGTCAGCATTATGACGTCAAAACAAGCACGGTGACCCCCCATTTTAATTACTTTTTTATCATCTTCTTGACTTGTTACATCAGTGTACCAAGTTTCATCTACAATCTATGTTAGGTTCTTTTACTAAGGAATCACCTTAAGTAATAGTTACATAGTTATTTTATTTAATTTTATAACTATTCATTAGTTTGTATTCTTTTACAGTTGGTGTGATGTCTTAGCAATTTTCACCGACCTAATATGTAGATGTAGATGAAACGCAGGTGCAAAACCAAGGATAAAAAAAAAAACAACAAGTAAAGATTCCATCGGCACAGTGACGTCGAATACAAGACTGGGTGTCTTCCATTTAATTTCAGACGAGAAAATAGCGGAGAGCTACTGTAAAAATTTATTTTTGTGCCCTATGATAAAATTCGTGCAGATACTAATGCTTAAGGACAGGGACTAAGTTTGAACAGGGGGGGGGGGAAGTATGTTTGCACGATAAAAAATATAACCAGCAAATAAACTCAAATTGGTTACTGATTATACTGTTTACAGTATTATAAGCGTACATTTTCTGTTGCACTTAAACACGCTTTATACCAAAACCACGTAGAGTAGACTAATTTCGGCCAAAGCTTTACTCTCGTCAGCCATCTTGGAAAAAATTTTGGCAACGCTTCACTGGTCCTGCGTTTCTTGACTTTCTTAAATTTTCGTTCGACGAGTGAACGTCCTTTGCACGGGGTTTGCATTTGCGTTGCATGTGTGAACTAGGCTATACATTTTTTGCATGCCGGTCCCTGGGAAATTCCGAGTTCTGAATCTCTTTATTTTCAAATAAATATCCTACCTTTTTTAGCTTGAAAAAAACATTAATAATCCCTTGAAAGGCCAAGCCTAAGAGAGAAGTGGCCCCCTTTTGCCTTTCAAACATTGCTCAGTATGGCCTAATCCTAAAGCTAATTCAATAGGGGAGAAGCCTTAATTGAAGTTTCATTCGTATCCTCCATTATATACTCAGTTCTAAAACGTTCATTGCTGGTCAGATATAACAAGAGTTAAAAGATCTTAAGTTGTTTGTTCTAGTTCATAGTTCTTGCAGGCATGAGTGCCCACAATTCGACTTCTGTTGCACTGGCTCACTTTACCTCTACACTTATAGAGAGAGACGAATTGAGAACACAGAGTTCTCAAGGCTTGCTTATAGTTTGTACTAAACACAAAGAGGATGACCGGATTGATTGCTGTACTTAAAGACGGAAAAACATAGAAGGTAAAACCAGTAATTAATTGGCATTTGTCCTTCGGAAACAGAGATGGAAAAAACTTTCTAAGAAAAAGATAAATACAGAGTGGTGTCCAGCATACAAAAAAGGCAATGACAATAGTTATAAAGATTTTCAGAATCTTCCTATTCTGCTGGCTTCGGTCAAAGTTATGCTGGCTTGTTTGAATGTTAGTTTTCTTGCTTCTCTTTTTCAATCTTCTCATGACCACGTAATACAAGACGATAATCGTAATAAGGGGAATAAAGTAAATTAGAACGATGCCGGTAGCATGAAAAACCGTTGTTGTTTCCTCGTTCGCGATAAACCTGCAAACAATCTGGTCCTCTACTGTATTATCTTGGAAAACAGTGCGTAAGGAAGAACGATAAGCAACGCTATTAGCCACGATACCAACAATAAGATCACTCGAATTTTCCAATTCATCATAGCAACTTTAAAAGGAAAAACAATCGCAACAAATCTGTCCAAAGCGATTAACACCAGACTCACAACGGAAACTATCTGAGATACCGCCCTAAAATACATTCCCAACTTGCACACAGCCAAAGCCCAAGACCCACTGATAAAAACATTGCGCGTGAACATGCCTTCACTAACGTACAGCGGCCAACTGAAAAACGGTCCGAGGAAGTCAGAGACTGCCATATTCACGATGTAGTAGTTGGTGCTTGTCTGTAGGCTGGGGGTCTTGGAGAAGACTACAGCAATGAGCATATTTCCAAGTAAAGTAACTGTAGTTATCACAGCCAAAATTGATGTGAACAATGTAGACACCGTCCAAGGGCAGGCAGCAGATGAAGTTTTCAGTTGATCTAACGTGAAGTTATCCATTGTTACTTGTTTGAAGCTTGAAATTCAGCGCTGAGAGCTAAACGGATAAGAATATATGAAATTAGCTACAGAGTATATATTGCAAAACAGCTAGGCGTGTTTTGCGTCATGCAGTCATTGTGCGCAGGGGTTCAAACTTAACTGGGCGGTCTGAAGAGAAATTGAAACCACCTGAACTCTTTGAAACAGAGCAAGAAGAGAGTAACTAACTGTTTTTTGCGGTCTATATTGAAAGGTGTACTGCAAAATACCGTCACATACCTTAAACTCTATGAACAAATTTGGAAGACTCTAGGTAAAGTACTAGCAATTTTCGTTTGGCTTTGGTATGATCCAGAAGAAGATTTGAAGAGTTATGCAAATTGAAGAGGGTGCTGCCTCTCGTCTCTAGGGCTTTGCATACTTCCGAGTGCTTGGGTGTTGCGGAAGCCGGCATTGTTAGTTAACTTTTGTGTTGTGGGGTGAGTATTGATCAGTATCTTTTCAATCTTTTGTATTACACCCTTCTGCAACACCCTTCACTCAAAATAAATCAAAGTTTAAAAGCAACCTACAGCGCTTCTTAAGCAACAAAACCTCGTCCCCAGGGCTTCTCGGATGCAGCCAATTTGTCTGACGTTTATCCTGCAGTCAGTAGTGATGTCCGGATTATATTGGATATCGCAAAGCGTCTTCCAAATTTGTTCAGCGCTAGCTGGATATGAAGAATAAGGCGGAGGATTTGAGTCAATCAGAAACAGAGAAACATTTTGAATGAATAATAACGCCGACTTTGCTAAGCCAGCAAATCGCGAATCGAAACCAAGCTATTCTCCGGCTTGTCGAAACACAATGAAAAAATTGGATTGCAGACAACTGTATAGCTGGCAGAAAATTGTCTTTGTAAAAAAAAAAAAAAGAAAAAAAAATGTCAATTCCAAGAGTTTTTGTTTGTTTCCTTTTTCTTGGGTTTCGTGAAAGTTATTCACTGAGTACATTACAGCTGTTTCAAAGCCAATTCGGGGGAAAAGGGCTACATTATAGGTGCGGTGACACACACCATGGTAAAATAGATTTTACACGTTGACGAAGCCGTGGTAAATTTTAACGGGTAGTAGTTTAAAGTGGTAACATGCGGTTACTCGTGAATTAATTGGCAGGGTAAATTAGTGGCTTTTACGGCTTCATTCGCGCTATTGCGGTAATAATCGTCTTCGATCATGGCAGTATTTCTTGTTTTGTTGAAAATTTACGAGCAAGTCAGCTGAAATTTTAACTGGTATGTTAGTCCTTATAATTTAGCGAAGGTACATATCATTTTTTTAAATCTTGACCTTAGATTTCATTTTACAGTTTAGCTGCATCCCACTGTCCAATTTCATACCGGAAATTGAACATTTTTATGTTTACATCAATTTTTCTCTCAACAGCGCGACAGAAACCCGTTATAAAAAAAGCAATGTTGTTTGCGATTTCAGGTTGGTGTCAAATGAAGAAACCTGATTGGCCCTCTTGTCTTGGGTATCGAAAAACCCCAGATTTACCACGTTAAATGTCATGAGGCACAAAATATCCCTCGATAATCTACACGTAACCCTCTGAGAAAATCTCTATGAAAAAAACAACACCAGCAAATCGATCAATAAAAAACAGAGAGTCATAGGTTAAACTTTTACCCTAAAAACGTCTGAAAACTGTTTCGAAGACCATATTAAGGACTTTAAAGTTTAAGTTTCACTTTTGAATCGCCAAACTGCTCTATTCTGAGAGTATTGTGACAGGAGTCCAGTACTTCCAGTCATACAGGTAATTTTTTTGCATTTGCTTACACCGTGGTTGGGTAACCTCAAACGCATGTTTGACACTGGCTCCGTTATATTAAGGCTTTTGCTTCCCTGCTTTCTGGCTATTCCATTGTATTGAGGTTAATTTTCAAAGAAAGATTCCGGATCCCAGGTCATGTTAGGCCCCAGTGAAAAAACCTTACGTATTTTTAATTTTTCTCACTTCATACTGCCGATGGTGATTTTACACATGAATGGCTTGTGCAAAGAAGAACTTTATTTGTTTAGATTTATATTCCAGCTTTCATCTGCAAAAACAGGACTAGAGTGGCAGTTTTAAGGTTGTTGCTAAATGTCTTCGTTCTCTCCAACTGACCAGATCTCAAATTAATCTAATTCACATATGCATCATGATTGTATTTTTTGGAACATGCCTCAAGATAAAATAATCGTTTCGATTTACTTACCTGGCGGCACACGTGTGTTCCACTTGACTGAAAAGCGTTTCTGTGACTGCTTTGTGAAATCCACAAGATGTGCCTTAGAACACGTCCTCGCTGTTCCTGATACTCTTGTTGTGTGCTTTCGATCCTTTAAGGTATTACGCGGTGAAGTATGTGTGAAGTGTGTACTTCGCTAGCTGTAGGTGACGTTATCAACCACGACATCTCGTATTCTCCACAGCTGCGTTGCGCAGCTAACTAAACAAAAGCAATATTATAACAACAATTTCTTAGTGCACTGATGTAAGTTCCATTCTTAACTTGAAATTCTTAAGTACACCGCAGCATGTTGTCTTTTTCAGTTTGTCCGTATCCATGAACTAGTAAAACAGCTCCAGCTGGCTTCTTCCTTCCCGCTGTGTCCCTTTGTGTTTGACCCAATAAATATCAATAAAGATCAAAATATGCTTGGACAAAATTACAATTCCCGAGCAAAAAGTTGCGTGTTTAAGTCTTAGTTCACAACTAACAATATACTCTAGAGTAAATAAGTCAAGTCGGCAACATAAAAAAACTGATTTGAAAAGCTCTTATCTTTTTGCTTCTTAATAGAGTTAATTCAGCAAACGCAGGTACCTAATATTAAAAGAGGCCACTTTCATTTCCTGCATCCACATCAGCGAAGAAAAAACAAAGCAAATCAGATAGCTAGATGCATGGGGAAAATAGCTTAGTCTTAATCGTACATAGTCTTGTCAATAGCGTAAAATCTGTCTCACAACTATTAAAAGAAAATTCATTACAACAATCTCGAACGAATAAAATTAGGTCCACTGCTCTCTGCTCAGTAATTGTTCAGTCCTTTGTAGTTGGTGAAAAACAAAACTCTTTATAGCCACTTAGTTATCTTCACTATTTTTTTCGTTTTACATTTTCTGGTCATTCTTTACTTTGCTTAACGTCATATCTATGTAATTTGAACAAAAATAGCCGTTTTTAACTGCGCATCAATCTCACGGTAATATATTAAGAATATATTGGATTTTGTTTACCAACACTGAGGTAAAGTTAAAGATAGTATTTAACAAAGCTAAATAGAGGATATTACATGGCCGCTTGGAGATACGAAATTTCTGTTCGAGTGTTGAAAAATATTTCACGAGTGGGCGCAGCGAACGAGTGAAATATTTTTTCAACACGAAATACCAAACCATTTCACCTTCATAGTGTTTTGGTGTGAAAGGCGCGATTTATTATGTAGCCATAGCCAAGGTGATATTTTCACATGTGTAGATAAGGGACTGTGCAGTAATTATCAGGAGGGGGGGCTGAAAAACTAGAATTATTTAGCAAAAACTTAGACAGTACCCCCCTCCAAAACAAAAAAAAATTAGTTCTAACTCCCCTCTGTTATGTTAAAAATAACCTCGCACCACCCACCCACCCACACACACACACCCACCCCTCACTGCCACCATTACCATAGATGCCTTTAAGTAAATACCTTTTATATTGTTATGCTACTGTAAACGAACGCTTACTTGTTGGATGTCGTCGTCTGGAACAAATAGTACCTCATATCAACAAAGCCATCCGTTTCGGAGTCATCCAAATCAGAGTTGTTTTGGGAAGTACTTGTGTGAGAATCAGAGTCGTATTCGGAATCACGGGATAGGAGTTCTGTGTCACTGTCATTGGCGCTATTTCTTTCGTTGTTTCGTGTTCCAGTATGCGAGAAATCAAGAGCACGTGCTACCAGCGCAGCTTTACTTCCAGATACATGAAGATTGTTCTGCTTAAGGCAGATCTTAATTTGTCTTGCTGTGAGGGATTTGACTTCATTTTCTTCTTTCCAGTTAATGTCTGGAAGGGTACTGCGTTCAGCTTCCCTTTTTTGAGCTTTCAATGCAAGAAACTCACGATGTTGAACAAAACTTTTGAGAGTGATTTCATCAACCATCAACTTCTCGCACACCTCCTGCATTTCTTTGGCGTTGGAAGAGGTTAACATACCAGAATCGACTAACTTCTTCACTTGCACACTTGGAAGTTGTCGATCGATTTCATCACTCAGACTGGTCACATTGGATGGAATATACCCGCGTGGTAAGGCTGCTGTATCACTAAGATCAGGAACAGGGAACCAATTTGCAGGGACACCAGCA